CAAAATCCCTCTCTTGTACACATTCTGGCCACAATTTTCTCCAAGTAGAGTTCAAAGCCCTGCAAGTCACTCCCTTCCAAGCCTTACCTAAAAGGTTTTATGCAACTGAGGATACTGAAGTGATCTTTCCAGAACTCTCTTAGGGTCAGTTCAGTGTCTGAGGTCACTTCAAAGCACTTTTGAAACTCTGCTTTGGTGTACAGTGTTTTGAAATTTGAAATGACCTGCTGGTCCATGGGCTGGAGGAGAGGAGTGGTGTTAGGAGGCAAAAACCTCACTTTTATGAAACTCAACTCCCCCACAATTCGCTCTTGCAAGTCTGGAGGATGAGCAGGAGTATTGTCTAATACCAGGAGGCACTTGAGTTCCAATTTATTTTCCAGGAGGTATTTTTTTTACAGTGGGGCCAAACATGTAATAGAACCAATCGTGGAAAATGTCCCTAGTGACCCATGCCTTACTGTTTGCCCTCCACATCACACACAAATTAGCCTTGACGACACTGTTTTTCTTGAACACTCTGGGAGTTTCAGAGTGATACACGAGTAAAGGTTTCACTTTGCAATCTCCACTAGCATTACTACAAAATATGAGAGTTAGCCTGTCTTTCATAGGCTTGTGTCCTGGGAGTGCCTTTTCCTCCTGAGTAATGTAGGTCCTGTTTGGCATTTTCTTCCAAAACAGGCCTGTTCGTCACAATTGAACACATGTTGGGGTTTTAATTTTTTAGCCTCTGTGTACCCCTTAAAGTCCTGCACATATTTTTCAGCCGCTTTTTGGTCACAGCTGGCAGCCTCACCATGCCTTATCACACTGTGTATGCCACTACCCTTCTCAACCCTTTGACTGTTTTGGTCGTATATATACGTCTTACGAGCCAGTGTTTCAGATGTATATATACTCAATAATTCAAGCGGCTTCAAATCAAGCTGGTAGGCCCACATGTGAGAGAATGGGTCTGTGTGGTCAGTGTGCACCACATAAAAAAAATCCTGCAGCATGCAGTGCATAATGAGAAAAAAAAAACTGACCATTTGTGGGGATTAAAACACTGACTTTGAGGTGTATTTTCGTGTAGTATTTATCATTGTATTCTTGTTTTCATGGTCTTACGTGATAAAATGGAAAACATATTGCAGAAATAGAGATGATTTTGATTAGTTTTACTATGAAAATGACCTTGAAATTGAGATCAAATTAGCGGAAATGTTCGATTTTTACCAATGTTCAAGAGTAAGCAAATCAAACCACACGTCCAATACACGTCAACTGGGGAGTCTGGTATTCTTTCACTAGTGCACTGATATTGTTTATACCATTTTTACAATAATGCAGTAGTCTGCATAACGGTAAATTTTGTATTTTTTGTATGAATAAAAAATCAAAATAGAAAGCAATAGTAATATAAGAGGGGCCTAGAGATGTGACTAATGAACAGAGGATATGTTATTTTAGTGCCAGGAATGTCTACATTTTTTATTCTGGACCCTATTTTGAAATTGGCATCTTTTTTAAGTTGTGTGAAATTGGCCAAATTGCCAATTTCTGATCACTTTGTTGGGTAGTTCAGATTGGTAAATGGGTGGTTTCTTGTACTCGGTCGATAGAAAAAAATGGAGTTCTAAAGAAATAGCTATGAGTTTGGTCAACTGGAACAACGGAATTGGCCAAAAACAGGGCTCAAAGTCTGTGAAATCACCAATGCGTACATGTCGCTGAGACCGCTAACTTCGCAGGAGCCTAATTCCGTGAGTTTTCGACCAAATTTTGTATTTTTGGTGTCATTACCATCAGGAAAATATTCTCTATCGTTTCATAACTTTTTTTTTTTTTTTTTTTTTTTTTTTTTTCAAAAATTTTGCAACATAGAATGACAGTTTCAGAAAGGGGCCTTAAATTCTATAACACCAGCACTAGTTCCAGGCATTTTCTTAATGAGATCATCATGCAACTGCCTTGCCTTTTCACATATGATTAACTGTGAAACACTATCTCCTGATAATTGTTTGTCGTTAACCCACACCAGTGTCAATCTCTCCACATCTTCGAGTATTTGCGATCTCTGTTTTATAAACACATTTGCACCTTTCACAACAACAGCTTCCTTCATTGCCTTTCTGTTGGCCAAGATAGTAGCAGTGGTTGATTGGGGTTTGTTATACAACCTGGCCAGCTTGGAGGCACGTATTCCACTTTCATACTTTGCGATTATCTCTTTCTTCAGTTCAGTAGTATTTCTCACCCTTTTTACCACAGGGTTGGCACTAGAAGCTTTTTCTGGGCCCTTAACTGAGTTTTTCATCGTTAACCGAGCCAATATTTTTACGCAAAAATGCATCGGTATCCAATTTTATCGCTATGTGATGGCATCGTTATATGAGGGTCCAACGTATGTCATTATGTGATAAGTGGTGGCGGCCACTCCCGCTCGGACCATATCTTCCCATTCTTTCCCTTCTGATAATGGAGTGTTTGTGAGGCTAGCTGCACTAGATCACTAGTTTCATAAGGAAAACAATGAAACAGTGTATTTATAAGTAAGAAATATTGTATAAAAACATAATAGAGAATGTAAAGAAGTAAACTGGTTTTATATAGCCTGTATCATACATATCGTAGAAGTACTACACTGGTATTGCCTGGCCAAGTCCACAACCCGCACACCTTGCTCATGTTTATCTATGATTTCATTCTTTAGTATAGGTCCCAAAAACCATTCGTCTCCATTCACTCCTATCTAACACACTCACACACGCTTGCTGGAAGTCCAAGCCCCTCCCCCACAAAACCTCCTTTACCCCCTCCCTCCCATCTTTTTGAAGACGACCCCTCCCCCCTCCCCCCGTTCCTTCTCCTACAGATTTATATGCTCTCCAAGTCATTCTACTTTGATCCCTTCTCTCTAAATGACCAAACCACCTCAACAACCCCTCTTCAGCCCTCTGACTAATACTTTTAGTAACTCCACACCTCCTCCTAATTTCCACACTCCGAATTCTCTGCATAATATTTACACCACACTTTTCCCTTAGACAGGATATCTCCACCACCTCCAGCCACCTCCTCGCTGCATCATTCACAACCCAAGCTTCACACCCATATAAGAGTGTTGGTACCACTATACTTTCGTACATTCCTTTCTTTAAATCCATGAATAACTTTTTTTTTTTTTTTTTTTTTTTTTTTTTTTTTTTTTTTTTTTTTTTGTCTCCACAGATACCTCACCACACCACTCGCCTTCTTTTCTTCATCAATTCTCTGGTCAACCTCATCCTTCATAAACCCATCTGCTGATAAGTCAACTCCCAAATATCTGAAAACATTTATTTTTTCCATACTCCCTCTGTCCAATGTGATATCCAGTTTTTCTTTATCTAAATCATTTGATACCCTCATCACCTTACTCTTATCTATGTTCACTTTGAACTCTCTACCTTTACACACTCTCCCAAACTTGTCCACTAACCTTTAGAATCCGCCATACGCACGGTATCATCAGCAAAAAGTAACTGTGTCAACTCCCCTTTTGTATTTGATTCCCCATAATTTAATCCCACCCCTCTCCCCAATACCCTAGCATTTACTTCTTTTACAACCCATCTATAAATACGTATATTAAACAACCATGGTGATATTACACATCCCTGTCTAAGACTTACTTTTATCAGGAAGTAATCTCCCTCTCTCCTACACACCCTAGCCTGAGCCTCACTATCCTTATAAAATCTCTTTACAGCATTTAGTAACTTACTACCTATTCCATTTACTTGCAATATCTGCCACATTGCTCCCCTATCCACTTTATTATATGCCTTTTCTAAATTCATAAATGCAATGAAAACTTCCCTACCTTTATCTAAATACTGTTCACATATATGCTTCAATGTAAACACTTCATCTACACATCCCTTACCTACTCTAAAGCCTCTTGCTCATCTGCAGTCCTACTCTCTGTCTTACCTCTAATTCTGTCAATAATAACCCTACCATACACTTTTCCTGGTATACTCAGTAAACTTATTCCCCTATAATTTTTACCATCTCTTTTGTCCACCTTCCCTTTATATAAAGGAACTATACATGCTCTCTGCCAATCCCTAGGTACCTTCCCCTCTTTCATACATTTATTAAACAAAAATACCAACCACTCCAACACTATATTATCCCCTGCTTTTAACATTTCTGTCTTGATCCCATCAGTTCCAGCTGCTTTAGCCTCTTTCATTCTACATAATGCCTCATGCACCTCCCCCACATTCACATCCTGCTCTTCTTCACTCCTAAAAGATGTTTTTCCTCCCTGGCCAGTGCATGAAATTACTGCCTCCCTTTCTTCATCGACATTTAAAGTTCTTCAAAATATTTCTGCCATGTACCCAATACCTCTAGCTCCCCATCTACCAACTTTCTTACTCTGTTTTTAACTGACAAATTCATTCGTTCCCTAGGCTTTCTTAACTTGTTTATCTCACTCTAATTTTTTTTCTTATTTTCATCAAAATTTCTTGACAGTGCCTCTCCCACTCTATCATCTGCTCTCCTTTTGCACTCTCTCACCACTCTCCTCACCTTTCTTTTACTCTCCATATACTCTGCTCTTCTTATAACACCTCTGCTTTGTAAAAATCCTCTCATAAGCTGCCTTTTTCTCTTTTATCACACCCTTTACTTCATCATTCCGCCAGTCACTCCTCTTTCCTCCTGCACCCATATTCATTTGCCAAACCTCATTTTAAGTAAAGGAAATGAAATACTTCATAAATATATGCAGATAAAGCTACATATCAGAAAAGATCCCCTCAAGGGAGGTTCCTTGATACTGGTGAGGGGCTCTTGATCTAGGGAATTGAATCTGTGCTCCACTTCCCTGAATTGAGCCTGAATACCTTCCATCCCCCCTACAGGTTTAGTGCTCCCCCATGATTATAATAATCAGAAAAAACCAAGTTTGAGAAAGTAATGGTTGACTTGTTACCTGATGATAACTGTCATGCTTGTAGGTCTCGGTATGCCTGAAGCACTCACCTTTGCTGTATCAACAATGCAAGCTGTACAGATGCTAGGGATGCCAGAGTCTGATGTCATACTGGCCCAGTGTGCTGTGTACCTTGCCAGGTGAGTAATGCAGATATTTTGTAGGCAAACCTGAATTCGTTCAAACGTTTTGCTCATTTTTTTTTTTTTTTTTAGCATTTAACCCTTTCAGGGTCTGTCCCGTAGATCTACGGCTTTACGTTCAGGGTCCAAACCGTAGATCTACGCCATGAGCTCAGCTCACTCTGATAAACTGTGAGTGGTACATTTGGGCCTAGATATGAGAGAATACATCTATGTGGTATGTGTGCACCACATAAAACAGATCCTGCAGCACACTGTGTATAATGAGAGAAAAAAAATGAAATCATGATTTTTTGATTAAAACAGCAACTTTGCAGTGTTTTTTCGTATGTTTTTTATAGTTGTATTTGCGATTTCTTGGTCTCATTTGATAGAATGGAAGACATATTACAGAAATAGAGATGATTTTGATTGGTTTTAGCACTGGAAATGGCTTGAAACTGAGCTCAAAGAAGTAGAAATGTTAAATTTTTGCCGATATTCAAGAGTAAACAAACGACCTCACACGTCTAATACACATCAGCTGGTGGGTCTAATATACATTCACAAATATGGTGATGATATTTATACAATTATTACAGTATTGCATAACAGTAAATCTTCTATTTTTTGGTGTGAATAAAAATTCATTATGTGAATAAAAAATCAAAATGGAATTTATTTGTAAAGCCTCAAAACATAACTAATGAACAGAGGAAATGTTAGTTTAGTGCCAGGAATGCCTACATTGTTCATTCTGGACCCTATTTTGAAATTAGAATATTTTGAACTTTGTGTTAAATTGGCCAAATTAACAGTTTCCGATCACTTTATTTTGTAGTTGAAACAGTTGACTTGGCGATTTCTTGTGCTCAATCGATAGAATAGAAGTAATACTAGTGAAATAGCTAAGAATTTGATTGACTGGAATAATGTAATTGGCCTAAAATGGGAGTCAAAGTCGGCAAAATCGCCGATTCGTAAATATCGCTGACACATCAAAATTCGCGAGAGCATAATTTCGTCAATTTTCCACCAAATTTCATACTTTTTGTTTTATTACCTTCACAAAAAGATTCTCTACGATTTCATAAGAAAAAATAACAAATTTTTTTTTTTAAATTCTTGGACACTGGTGCGTGACTCCAGATTTGGGCCTTGGACCCTGAAAGGGTTAACTTAAGTTTAGTTTTTGTCATTATTTGCCTTCTAACCTTACATCTTATTTTTTCATATCATTGCCAGAGCGCATCACAACCCTGAGGTATATTCAGCTATGAATCGTGTCAATGAGCATATAAATAATTATGCTGGACCCTTGCCGCCTGTGCCTCTTCAACTGAGAAATGCTCCCACTGCACTCATGAAAAAGCTTGGTAAGGCAAATGTATTTGTAACTAAACATATAGCAGACATGAACTTAGTGTCTCAGTATTGTTCTTACTAGGATAAAAAAAAATGTGATGTATTTTGGGCATTTTCTGGGAAGCAGCATGACAGTGACATATGAAAAACATTATTTGTGAAACAGTATACTATTATGTAATTAAGGTGGTGTCCCACTCTAATTTCAAGTGGTTACTGTCACCTCTGCAGCTCCTCCTTGCTACAGCATTTACAACCCATGCTTCACATTCATATAAGAATGTTGGTACCACCATACTCTCGTACATTCCCTTCTTTGCCTCCATGGATAACGTTTTTTGTCTCCACAGATACCTCAGTGTCACTTCTTTTTCTTCATCAATTCTGTGGTTAACCTTGTCCTTCATAAACCCATCTGCTGACAAGGCTACTCCCAAATATCTGAACACATCGCACTTCTTCCATACTCCCTCCTATCTTAAGTCACGTTAACTCTAGATTCCATTGTTTCTTCATTAACAGTGATTTCAGGCATTTAATTTCCTTTTCTTCCTTGTTCACTCTTGACACATTTTTTCTATATTTTTGTTTTTTCTTCAACAAATAGGCCATCTCCCACTGAAGCAGGGTGACCCAAAAAAGAAAGAATATCCCCAAAAAGAAAATACTTTGATCATCATTCAACACTTTCACCACCTCACTCATACATAATCACTGTCTTTGCAGAGGCGCTCAGATACGACAGTTTAGAAGTCCCTCCAAACTCAATATCCCAAACCCCTCCTTAAAGTGCAGTCATTGTACTTCCCATTTCCAGGGCTTAAGTCCAGCTAACTGGTTTCCCTAAATCCCTTCACTAAATATTATCCTGCTCACACTCCAACAGCTAGTCATATCCCAAAAACTATTCATCTCCATTCACTCCTGTCTAACACACTCACACACACACTTGCTGGAAGTCCAAGCCCCTTGCCCACAAAACCTTTACCCCTTCCCTCCAAACTTTTCGAGGATGACCCCTACCCCGCCTTCCTTCCCCTACAGATTTATATGCTTTCCAAGTCATTCTACTGTGATCCAGTCTCTCTGAATGACCAAACATCCTCAACAACCCCTCTTCAGCCCTCTGACTAATGCTTTTAGTAACTCCACACTGCCTCCTAATTTGCACACTCTGAATTCTCTGCATAATACTTACACCACACATTGCCCTTAGACAGGATCTCTCCACTGCCTCCAGCCGCCTCCTCGCTGCAGCATTTACAACCCATGCTTCACACCCATATAAGAGTGTTGGTACCACTACACTTTCATGCATTCCCTTCTTTGCCTCCATAGATAACGTTTTTTTGTCTCCACAGATACTTCAACGCACCACTCCCCTTTTTTCCTTCATCAGTTCTATGGTTAACATCATCCTTCATAAACCCATCTGCTGACAAGTCAGCTCCCAAATATCTGAAAACATTCACATCTTCCATACTCCCTCTCTCCAATGTGATATCCAGTTTTTCGTTATCAAAATTGTTTGATACTCTCATCACCTTATTCTTATGTATGTTCACTTTCAACTTTATACCTTTACACACCCTCCCAGACTTATCCACTAACCTTTGCAACTTTTCTTTAGAATCTCCCATAAACACAGTATCATCAGCAAAAAGTAACTGTGTCAATTCCCATTTGTACTTGATTCCCCATAATTCAATCCCACCCCTCTCCCCAACACCCTAGCATTTACTTCTTTTACAACCCCATCTATAAATACAGTGGTACCTTGACTTACGAGTGCCCCAACTTATGAATTTTCCAAGTTACTAGCCGTCGCTTGGTCAAATTTTTGCTTTGAGTTGTGATCCAAAATCCGAGTTACGAGTGAGCTTCAGATACACTGCCACTAATTGGCGGCATATCTGAAGTCAATTCCAACTCTGTACCCAGAGGAATGTCAGGTACTTCATCCCATCCCACATGCTCTTCCAAGACATAACTGGAAAGATAATACTCCCACACTAATCCCAGACTGTAGTGAGGCACCTCATCCCTTGTTTGGTTCTCGTATAAATCCGGGGAAGAGGTAAACTTCATTGTAGAACACTCAGAGTTTTTCCAGAAACATTAAGGTGAGTGGAGTAGTGATGGTAGTGGGTGAAGCAGTGATGGTGTGGGTGGAGTAGGGATAGTGGTGGGTGGAGTATTGATAGTGGTGGGTGGAGTAGTCATGGTGGTGGGTGGAGTAGTCATGGTGGTGGGTGGAGTACTGATAGTGGTGAGTGGAGTAGTCATGGTGGTATGTGGAGTATTGATAGTGGTGAGTGGAGTAGCGATGGTGGTGGATGGAGTAGTGAGGGTGGTGGATGGAGTAGTGAGGGTGGTGGATGGAGTAGTGAGGGTGGTGGATGGAGTAGTGATAATGGTGGGTCGAGTAGATATGGTGGTAGGTGGAGTAGTGAGGGTGGTGGGTTTAGTAGAGACGGTGGTGGATGCAGTATACACTATTTATTTATAAATATATTTTTCTTATTTAAAAACAAAAAAAAATGGGTGTTTTTTTGGGGACTGGAACGGATTAATGGCACCTCAGTTAATTTCAATGAGGAAAATTGATTTGATATACGAGCAAATTGAGTTACGAGCTCGGTCAGGGAACAAATTAAACTCATAAGTCAAGGTACCACTGTATATTAAACAACCATGGTGACATTACACATCCCTGTCTAAGACCTACTTTTAACAGGAAGTAATCTCCCTCTTTCCTACATATCCTAACCTGAGCCTCACTATCCTCAAAAATGTTACAGCATTTACTACTTGCAACATCTGCCACATTGCTCCCCAATCCACTCTCGTATGCCTTTTCTAAATCCATAAATTCAGTGAAAACTTCCCTACCTTTATCTAAATACTGCTCACATATATGCTTCAATGTAAACACTTGACCTACACATCCCTTACCCACTCTAAAGCCTCCTTGCTCATCTGCAATCCTACTCTCTGTCTTGCCTCTTCTTTCAGTAATAACCATACCATACACTTTACCTAGTATACTCAGTAGACTTATTCCCTATAATTTTTACAGTCTCTTTTGTCCCCCTTCCCTTTATATAAAGGAATTATACATGCTCTCTGCCAATCCCTAGGTACCTTCTACTCTTTCATGCATTTAATTAAACAAAAATACCAACCACTCCAACACAGTATATCCCCCCCTGCTTTTAACGTTTCTGTCATGATCCCATCAATTCCAGCTGGTTTGCTCCCTTTCATTTTACATAATGCCTCATGCACCTCCCCCACACTCACATCCTGCTCTTCTTCACTCCTAAAAGATGTTATACCTCCCTGACCAATGCATGAAATTACCGCCTCCCTTTCTTCATCGACATTTAAGAGGTCCTCAAACTATTCCCGTCATCTTGACATAAACTCAGAGAGATGTTTTTGGGTCTGCCCAAACGAGATACACCTGTATGAGGAAATGACATATATATTAAAAGACAAGAACACCAATAAAACATCCTTCTTGAAAGACATGTCAGCATGGTATGACCCCTGGGAAAAAAAGATGGGTGGTAGAGATGGGGTTGTCTTGGACAGTGCTCCTGAGGGTGCTAGAGCTGTCCTGGAAGACAGTGCTGAGGGTGCTAGTGTTGTCCTGGAGGAAAATGCTCCAGAGGGTCCTAGTGATGTCTTAGAAGATAGCACTCGTGAGGGTACTAGTGTTGCCCTGGAGGACACTGACGACAGTTTTATTCAGTCCACAGAGGTTCAAAATAGAGATACTGCTGAAAAGGGATCAAAATGGGATGATGCCTCAGGAAATAGTGTTGACACACTACCAGCAAAACCTGGTGGAAGCACTGATGTCCATACAGGGGTAAAAGATACTGAGGAAACAGGAAAAATAAATGCACCAGCAGTAAACACAGCTACAATAAATCCTAGCAAACATGAGTACAATCTATGTAAATACTATGCCTTGGGTATCTGCAGGCATGGTATATCTGGTAAAACAGGTTGGACATGCACCTTTGACCATTCCAAAAACTGCCACACCCACATGACAACAGGAGAGTGCAACTTCCCTTCTTGCAACTTATTTCACCCAGAAATGTGTCACTCATCAATCCATGAAAGAAAATGCTACAATGCATACTGCCAGGCACATCATCTAAAGGGGAGTAGAAGACACAGACCAGCCAGACTATGGGAAACAAAAGAGAGGAGCCACAACCTCTCTAGGGACAGAGGTTTTTTAGGACCAGAAGGGAAAAAAGACTGGCAAGAAATGACAATAATCCTACACCACCTGAAAACACTTCAGGAGCAGAGGCATGGACATTGGCCTCTACCCCAGAACAACAGATATTAGAACCAGCAAATAAAATCCCCCCTAAATTCCACCAATACGATATTTGTCTTTGCAAACATATAGGGTCTAAAGCCGTCAAAAACAATAAAATTCCTTACATCAAGGGACTGCTCACGGAGTCAAATGCAATGTTTGCAACATTCACAGAGACCCCACATAAGGGATCATTATGACAACGAAATATGGATCCCAGGTTATAACCTATTCCGATGCGACAGACTAAACAGGCAACAAGGGGGGGTTGGCCTGTATGTCACAGAGTCGCTCATTTGTACGGAACTACTAAACACCTCAAATGATGTAGTTGAAGTTTTGATGATAAAGATCGAAAACCAAAACCTTGTCACTGTGGTAGTATACAAGCCTCCAGATGCAAATTCCCAGCAATTCCAGGAGCAGCTTGATAAAATTGACCACTGTCTGGAAAATCTCCCAACTCCTGCCCCAAACATCTTACTACTAGGAGATTTCAATCTGAGACACCTAAAATGGAGGAGTATAGCAAACAATGTTTTAGAGATCACCCAGGGAGGCAGCTCAGATGAAAATTCACCCACACACGAACTATTAAATCTCTGCAACAAATTCACCTTAAACCAGCAAATAGTAGAGCCTACAAGACTAGAAAATATGCTGGAC